TATATATGTATTATACACATATGCACACATATGTATCACGGCCATATTAATGTGTCCTATACACCAATAATCAAATCAATTTAATTCTTGCCTAAACAACCGAATAATAAATAAATAATAATAAATTCCAAGAAACTGAAAAATTAATCGAGCGTTCATTTCATCGATCCCTGAATTTTAACCCCATTCAATTTATTTAACAGTCATTACGGTAACATCAATTGTAAATATCAACAGGTGGCTACAGAGCATGCACAAAGGGAAACGTTCCGTACTTCTCAGTATTCTTATCCCGTTAAATTTCTCGTTAAACAAATACTCTTCGTTTCTCGTTAAACAAACAAGCATCCTATTTCTCATTCATCTAATATCGCCACTGACTACGATGGGAATAGCTCTATTCTATTTCCTTGATCGAGATCTATCTAATATTCGATTCGAAGTAACTTCCTCTCGACCAGTGTTCGAGTTACGAAGTTAATTTCCTCCTACTTCTGCAACTGCTTATTTCATTCTCGTGAAGTCGTTTCGAAGGCTATTAATTCTCTTGTTCTTTTTTCGTTGATTGATTCCTGGGACAATTCTGGGAAAACATTTCATTGAGATGAAATACAAAAGGAGATAATAATTCAATATACTTTTTAAATGGATACTTGGATGTTTTTTACACAAATTTATATTGTAGGAATTGTTAAACTTTTAAAATTGTACTGTAATATTAATTTTTCTAATATTATTCGAACATTATTCTAATGTTATTTGAATTGTTTGAATTATTTGAATTGTTTGAATTGTTTGAATTGTTTGAATTGTTTGAATTGTTTGAATTGTTTGAATTGTTTGAATTGTTTGAATTGTTTGAATTGTTTGAATTGTTTGAATTGTTTGAATTGTTTGAATTGTTTGAATTGTTTGAATTGTTTGAATTGTTTGAATTGTTTGAATTGTTTGAATTGTTTGAATTGTTTGAATTGTTTGAATTGTTTGAATTGTTTGAATTGTTTGAATTGTTTGAATTGTTTGAATTGTTTGAATTGTTTGAATTGTTTGAATTGTTTGAATTGTTTGAATTGTTTGAATTGTTTGAATTGTTTGAATTGTTTGAATTGTTTGAATTGTTTGAATTGTTTGAATTGTTTGAATTGTTTGAATTGTTTGAATTGTTTGAATTGTTTGAATTGTTTGAATTGTTTGAATTGTTTGAATTGTTTGAATTGTTTGAATTGTTTGAATTGTTTGAATTGTTTGAATTGTTTGAATTGTTTGAATTGTTTGAATTGTTTGAATTGTTTGAATTGTTTGAATTGTTTGAATTGTTTGAATTGTTTGAATTGTTTGAATTGTTTGAATTGTTTGAATTGTTTGAATTGTTTGAATTGTTTGAATTGTTTGAATTGTTTGAATTGTTTGAATTATTTCCTGATATTTTTATTTTTATAACAAATATAATAATTTCATTTAAATTTTGATGAATCACAGAAAATATCTATCAGAAATAACCACAAATGGTACCAAACGTAAAAAGCATGATCAATGAAATTCTATTTAAATTCATCATCAGAAACCGCAGTATACAATGATCGAAAAGTACACAAACACTTTAAATATTCCAACTTTGAACTATTCAATTCCACTTTCATCAAATTCCTCGATTTCTCAAACGCATGATTAATGTTCCATCTATCAAAAATCAAATAGATAATTTACGTCCGTAGGCATATCTATCCTCGCTAGATGGCATAACTGTTCATGAACAGTTTGGCATCTTTCGTTTGACTAATGGCCAAGAAATACCGTATGAGGTAACTAATTATTTCTGATAAAATTTTCGATACGAGTCGGTGTGCACTTTTCAATGAAATGTGGGTTAAATTAATTCAAGTGAAACTTCTATACGAAATTGTTATATTTCATACTTCAAACATCTGTATATTCAAGTGATGTATAGATAAATTGATAAATTACCCCTTCGATAAATTACCAATAATAAAATTTAACACATTTATGTTAAATTAAATTACTTCACAAAATGGAGAACGTAAGGTATACAGAATTTGTACATGTCTGTTTGTATCCTATTAAACTATGTCACATGATTACCTATATGTGTCACGTGTCACATGATTCACTGAAATATCAGTTGATAAAAAAAATCCCAGGTAAAACAATGTTAACGTTCCGAATTTATGAAGTTGATCAAACGACTCTACGTCCACAACTCTCCACACGTGACAAACGCACTCATGCTTTTTCCGCCGCTTTGAATGAAGCGATTTTTCTTCTCGTCGATTCTACAAATCCGGCAGGTTCGCGGATTTCCACGCAGCCGGCGGATTATCAGACTGCGAACATGAAAAACGAGTTGCGGATACCATTAAATAACGTTCGCGCGTGCATACTTGAAATGCCCGTGCAATAAAGCTGCGGCCATTCAGTTGGCCAGCTATTCACACGATTCTTCGCACGTTCCGTCTCTTATCTGTTAACCGTACCTTTTGTCGGCCAATTAAACCCTAAAACACCGTTGAGCTACGGCCACTAATTTCGATAATGGGCCATAATTTCGAGTGATGTTTGCTGATACTCATAGATTCCTTAATTAAAAGTTAACGGGCTTACGGGCCCGGGCTCTCGGAAGGTACCGTTTCCGATACTTCGGGAGAAAGATAGGGAAACGCCGGAGACCTTCGTTAAATTTCGAGAAAATAAACGCTTCAGAGATTATGTTAATTATCGTGGTGGATATGCGACTGAAATGATACGATAGTGCGCTGGAAAAAGTTTCGATAAAGAAAATATTTGAAATAACGGTGGTCGTTGCAATAACTTGTGATCGATGAACGAATTCTCTAGATGCAAGTATCAATACATTGAAAATTCCTTAGATGCAAATATCAACACCTTGAAAATTCTCTAGATGCAAGTATCCATACTTTGAAAATCCCCTAGATGTAAATATCCCTACTTTAAAAATTCCCTAGATGCAAATATTCCAACTTTGAAAACTCCCTAGATGAAAGTATCCATAGTTCGCAAATCCCCTAGATGTAAATATCCCTACTTTAAAAATTCCCCAGATGCAAATATTTCAACTTTGAAAATTTCCTAGATGCAAGTATCCATACTTTGATAATCCCCTAGATACAAGTATCCATACTTTGAAAATCCCCTAGATGTAAATATCCCTACCTTAAAAATTCCCCAGATGCAAATATTCCAACTTTGAAAATTCCCTAGATGCAAGTATCCATAGTTTGCAAATCCCCTAGATGTAAATATCCCTACCTTAAAAATTCCCCAGATGCAAATATTCCAACTTTGAAAATTCCCTAGATGCAAGTATCCATACTTTGAAAATCCTCTATATGTAAATATCCCTACTTTAAAAATTCCCTAGATGCAAATATTCCAACTTTGAGAATTTCCTAGATGCAAGTATCCATACTTTGAAAATCCCCTAGATGTAAATATCCCTACCTTAAAAATTCCCTAGACGCAAATATTCCAACTTTGAAAATTCCCTAGATGCAAGTATCCATAGTTTGCAAATCCCCTAGATGTAAATATCCCTACTTTAAAAATTCCCCAGATGCAAATATTTCAACTTTGAAAATTTCCTAGATGCAAGTATCCATACTTTGAAAATCCCCTAGATGTAAATATCCCTACTTTAAAAATTCCCTAGATGCCATGACCTTAAGATTTAAGTACCCCTTGCTGCAAGTATTCCTAAATCCAAGTGTCCCTAGATCCAATTGTTCCTACAGTATCCTGAGTATCCCTAAATCCAAATATCCCTAGCCATATATAATCACAGTTCACTTAAATCGAAACATCTCTAATCTCAAATACTTTTATCCTTCCTTCTGTTACATAAAGAAATTAAAAATTGAATTGGAACACGTTTTGTTACAAATAAAAGATTGACCCAGAATCCATATGGAAACTCATGATTTACGTAGACTCGTACACGATATCAGAATATCAAATCGAAGTTCTCATTCCGTTTCTATTATTCATCCAGGCAAATTGAACAATCATTTACACATTATGCGAGAAAGTAGCATACCAACGTCCGAACGTCATTCAATCACCGAGTTTCTTATTGTTCGAAGCTACAGGAAGCTCGATCAACATCATTCGACCCGGTTACCGTACTTATTTATCGGTGTCGCCGATGAAACTTTTAAACGAACGTTTTCCATATGCAGGTCTTACGCACCGACTGAACCGTTAGGCCAATATTGAATCGCACTTTTCCATGTGGGTATCGCGCCTGCATTATGGGAGCACCATGCTGCCCCCATTGTTTAAAACTATCGTTTCTCACTTTTCTTGGAAATACGTGTCGAGGAAAATGAACGAGTCTCGAATAAGAAATACATTTTCTGGTTAACTTTATATTGTGTATTAATACAATTGTATATTGTATTAATTTATTTGTATTATTTATTTTTCTATTTTCTCAGGTTAATTGCCATCGAACGAAAGTTCGTGGTTTTTGTTTTAAACCGAGGTGCCAATTAGAGACTCAATTTTTAATTAGTAAGGATGAAAAATTCACTGCTAATGAATGAAACTTTTAATTGAATTCTGTTTTCAATTTTTAATTCGATAGAGAATTAGAAACGATAATTTTTCGATATAGAAGTATTCATTTGAAAATTACATTCTGATAGTCAATTAAAAAGGTTTTAATTATTAATTAGAATTCAATCGGTTAATTGTTATGAGAGCAATTAAGGAGTTTGTAACTGTTCAAATGTACAAATTAAAATGTACATATGTCCAAATTTAATTGTTCAAATTCACTTTGTGTTTGAATGTTAAAATGTACAAATTAAAACTACACATTAAATGTACGAATTAAGAATGTACAAATTAAAAGTACAAATTAAATGTACAAATTAAAAGTACAAATTAAATGTACAAATAAAATAGAATTATTGAAAGATTGAAAACGTAAGACTGTTAATAATGTAAAAAGTTGTATAACTCACCATATAGATCAGCATACGTAGCAACCTCCACACCCCTGGCATCCTGGAGGTCCCAGCCTCTCACGATGAGATACGCTTCCCTGTAAAAGACAAACGCCGGCCATTAGAGACGGGCTTAATTCGCGGGCGTTACGGGGCCTAACGTGCTAGTGTCGGGCGTAAAAGGAATTTCTTCGCAGCCGGATCTATTTTAATTTATCCGACCACCATGGTCTAGCGAGCAAATTAACTGAACACCGTCCGCCAGGTCGCGGTTCGAATCCCAAGGAGGTCTCGGCGCAAAATTGATTTGCCGAGAGAAATCATGGTTATGGGGTTTCGAGTGTGCGCGTGCTCGTTCCATGGAATCAGGATACGCGACGTTCCTCGAATCTAGATAAACAGAACTGATTAACTCATTATGGATCTTTTAGTTTATTCACAGGCAGAAATTGTTGGTATATTCAAAAATCTCAATATTTCAATTTACTTGTAGGTAAGGAAATATTCTTTCTAATCAGAACGGACTGCGTCGAAGAGAGTCTTTCTAATTTAATTTTGAGATATACAGGGTGTATTATAAGTAACGTCCCTGAAATGTAGCTGACGTGATTCTGAATAAGATTTCCCTTAGCAAAAATGCGGTCCGAAGCTTCGTTTTTGAATTATTAAGGAAATCCACGGACGCGTAGAAATGGGGGAGTAGAAAATATAGCGCGTGGAATTACGATGCGCGGAAATAGGGGGCGTAGGGAATATAACGCATGGAATTACGCCGCGTGAAGATTCAACGCGTGGATATACGGGACGTAGGGGATATGAGGCGTGGAAATACAAAGCGTAGAGAATACAAAGCGTAAAATTACAACGCGTGGAAATGGGGGAGTAGAGAATATAACGTGTGGAATTACGACGCGTGAAAATAGGGGGCGTTGGGAATATAACGCGTGGAATTACGACGCGTGGAAATAGGGGGCGTAGGGAATATAACGCGTGGAATTACGCCGCGTGGAGATTCAACGCGTGGAAATACGGGGCGTAGGGGATATGACGCGTGGAAATACGAAGCGTAGAGAATACAAAGCGTGAAATTACAACGCGTGGAAATAGGAAGAGTAGAGAATATAACGTGTGGAATTGCCACGCGTGGAAATAGGGGGCGTAGGGAATATAACGCGTGGAATTACGCCGCGTGGAGATTCAACGCGTGGAAATACGGGGCGTAGGGGATATGACGCGTGGAAATACGAAGCGTAGAGAATACAAAGCGTGAAATTACAACGCGTGGAAATAGGAAGAGTAGAGAATATAACGTGTGGAATTGCCACGCGTGGAAATAGGGGGCGTAGGGAATATAACGCGTGGAATTACGCCGCGTGGAGATTTTTTCCTTAATAATTCAAAAATAATTCAAAAACGGAGCTTCAAACCCCATTTTCGCAAAGGGAAATCTTATTCAGAATTGCGTCAGCTACCCCCCATTTCAGGGACCTACGCTAATTGCGAGACACCCTGTATCGAGGCAAGGATTAAGAATAGCGACGTGGCAAACTGCTTCGAGCGAAAGGAAAAGAAAGAGAATTGTTAATCGAGGTTTTTATTTAACATGAATGGTAATGCCAATAAATGTATTTACAGGACCTGACCAATGATTTCTTCCTAATCTTTTTATTCAATGTACAAAATCCGCGGTACATTCGCCTGTAGATCGGTAGAGAAAAAACGTGGAAAATATAATTATACATTTATTAATATACAAAAAAATTGACACGCTAATATTCTCGTAATACATTGTCTCATTCGACGAAGAATAATTTATAAACATTTTTTTTATATCTACGTGCTTAAGATACAATTAAATATATTAGCTTTCGTGTGCTGTTACAAGCTACTGACTATGGCTTTATACATTTGATCTTGATATCTTGCGTTCTAAAATACTCATTCGCATAGAAAATTTTAGAGTGCACTAATTGTGAGACGTCCTGTACAAAAGTATCGATGAAGCATGAGATCTTTTATCTAAAAGGGAACACCAATCAATTTTAAATTTAAAAGAAACAATCGAGTATTTTATTCTACTAAGACCTTAAATCTGCTTCCTATATTCCAATAGAAATTTCTGCTTTGAATATGCAAGCGATCGATCGCTTTTAATCGATTAACTAGTATCGCTGTAAATCGTGATGGGTCTAATCGGATTATCGCCGATCGCTGTTACGAGGTATCTCGAAGGAAACAATTAACGATTGATAATTGTATTGTGGTTGCTGTAACGTTAATTGACTGCTTATAATTTCTAGTTCTTCATTGAAATTTAATCGTGTAACAGTAATACAATCATTAATTGCTAATTATTTATTGCAATTCTAAGATGTAACTGTAATAGTATAATTTATAATTGCTAGGTTTTTTAGTGGAGTTTTATATTGTAATTACTGATTGCTAGTTTTTGGAGCAATTTTATATTGTTATATTAATATTATTTTTACGTACTAGTTTTTTTTATTAAATTTGATATTGTAATAGTAATATTATTTTTAGGTACTAGTTTTTTTTATCGAAATTCAATACTGTAGTAATAATATTAAAATTATTAGTTGCTAGTGTTTTTTATTAAATTTGATATTGTAATAGTAATAAAATAATTAATAATTACTAGTTTTTTTTTATTAAAATTCAATATTATAATAATAATGTTAAAATTTCTAATTGCTAGTTTTTTCAATGAAATTCAATACTGTAATAATAATATTAAAATTACTAGTTGCTTGTTTATTAAAATTGAATATTGCAGTAATAATAATATAATTTCTAATTGCTAGTTTTTTAAATGAAATTCAATCTTACAATAACAGTAATAAAATTTCAAATTGCTAGTTTTTTATCGAAACTCATTTCATTAAAATTCAATAACATAACCTCAAAATTAAAATTATTAATTACAACTTGTTTTATTGAAATTCAATATAATAATCATGAATGAGCATCTTCTAGAAATCTAATTAAAATAATATTCAATGCACAATTTTAATAAATAAACGCACAATTATTAAATTGGTAGGTAAAGTTAGTTTCATGCTATTAATAATTTTTTTTCATAAATTCCTAAACACTTCCTATAAAAGATCAACAAAAGCTTCCCCAAAAATATTTCTCACGAATCACCCCACCATCTCAATTTTCTTTAAAAATAAAATCTCCATTTGCCTCACCGGTTAACGTGATGTATCGACGTAAATACACTCGTGAACGTATATATACGTCATCGGTAGTTAAAGGGTTAAGGTACATTGAATATAGACATTAAGGAAGTATCGTGCCTAGTAGATGACGAATGAGATAAACGACTCCCGCTTAACGACTTTCATATATTTTCATACCGGTATTTCTATTCTCCATTAGTACCGAGGTAGTCGATGATTATCGTTCGACTAGTTACATCGATTTATCGTGCGAGATGTGTTGCACAGATAGTTCCGTGTCGAGTGTTGTTTGACGGAATGAAAAAAGTATTTAACAACCGACATGGGAAGTGGTTTTGAGAAACATTTTGTTGTTATGACCCACTTATTTACATTTCGTTCCTTCGAGTACAGTCGATGTTATTAATGAATCGATAAGATTGTTAGTTCAATTAATTTCTTCGTCTGGGACTTTTAATTTCTTGTTTGTGTGTGTTGGAATCAATCATCGGTAATAGTTGGGTATTAATAATGGTGGATGGGATCGATGTAATTAATGATAGCGAAACGATTCGATAATAATGTAGTCAATGTTTTAGAAGTAACTGGTATATTGGGTTTCGATATTAATGTTTGTTCAAGTAATATTGATAGTGTACTGACATTAATAAAGATTGTTATAGTACTTACAAGTAGAATGGACACTTATTGAATGTGCGAAATACGTGTTTTGGGATTCGATGTCTTTTTCATGTTAGACTAAATTTTTGAGTGTGGGAGATTTTGGGCGAGCTTTAGGGTAATTGACAAATTTTCAAATTATCAAATACTCAATTCTTTCAATTCTTTCAATTTTTTAAATTTGTTAAATTTTGTCAATTCTTTCAATTCTTTCAATTCTTTCAATTCTTTCAATTCTTTCAATTCTGTCAATTCTGTCAATTCTTGCAATTCTTTCAATTCTTTCAATTCTTTCAAATCTTTCAATTCTTCCAATTTTCTCTATTTTCTAACTTCCTAACATATCAAATTTCGAAAATTTCAGATCTTCAAATTCCCAAATCCCCAAATTTCTCAAATCTCCATATTCCCAAATTTCTGATTCCCAAAATTCCCTAGATTTCATAAATTTCCAAATTTCCCAAATCCTCGATTCTCAAAATTCCCTAGATTTCACAAGTTCTCAAATTTCCAAATCCCCAAATTTCTCAAATCTCCATATTCCCAAATATCTAATTCCCAAAATTCCCTAGATTTCACAAATTCCCAAATTTCTCAAATCCTTGATTCTCAAAATTCCCTAGATTTTACAAGCTTTCAAATTTCCAAATCCCCAAATTTCTCAAATCTCCATATTCCCAAATTTCTGATTCCCAAAATCCCCTAGATTTCACAGATTCCCAAATTTCCCAAATCCTTGATTCTCAAAATTCCCTAGATTTCACAAGTTCTCAAATTTCCCAAATCCTTGATTCTAAAATTTCCCTAGATTTCACAAGTTCTCAAATTTCCAAATCCCCAAATTTCTCAAATCTCCATATTCCCAAATTTCTGATTCCCAAAATTTCCTAGATTTCACAAATTCTCAAATTTCCCAAATCCTAGATTCTAAAAATTCCATTGGTTTCACAAGTTTTCAAATTTCCAAATCCCCAAATTTTTCAAATCTCCATATTCCCAAATTTCTGATTCCCAAAATTCCCTAGATATCACAAATTCCCAAATTTCCCCAATCCTTGATTCCCAAAATTACCTAGATTTCATAAATTCTCATATTTCCCAAATCTCTATATTCTGCAATTGTGTATTCTAAAAATTCCCTAGATTTCACAGTTTCCCAAGTTTCCAAATCCCCAAATTTCCCAACTCTCTATATTCTGAAATACTTGATTCTAAAAGTTCCCTAGATTTTACAG